GATAAACGTTGGACATGTAACTGCAGATTTGTCTTTTTTGAAGGGATGATTGCAGACACTCTGAATAAAAGGAATACATCTAAAATCTCGAAAATAAAATGAATTCTGAAAATAAGATACATGTTGAGGTAATGATTTTGAGGTAAAATTTTCTGACACCAAGGATTTTGAGAAATCTAGGAAAGTGCAATAAAACTCTTTAGAAAATTCAATCATTTTAAGGAATGTAGACGGTTCTCGTCCAACAGCAGTGTCAAAAGACTCTAATATAACTGGATTTGATAACAATCTCATGGATTTATACAAAATGAACAAAGCGAAAAAACGAGCGAGCCTATGGAACTTTCTACAGAAGACGAGATTAAGAAAACAACTGATAAGTGCGACAAAACTATGTATTAAAATAAATCTTATATGCTACCAATTTTAATTCAGTTCATTTATCAGAAGCGACTATTTTGCAAGACAATACTCCATCTTCTTGTATTAACGAAGCAAACGCATTATACACAGATCTAAATAAACTCAAAATAAATATTTCTAAAGATCAAGTATATGTCGATAATGGCATGTCGATAGAATCAGATAGCTTAGACGAAGATTCTAGTAAGCAGCAGAAATTAAATAAGAGTGCATGTAACGCTAGTGCTGGAAACGTAAATGATGATACAGTGACATTTCAAAGGAATAAATCAAAAGTGAAACAGCAAAATTATCGTAAGAGACAAAATAATGAAGACAATAATATCTTGTTTAATGAAATAACAAGAAAAGCTTCCATTCCTGATGCAAATAAGGTAATTATTTTCTTATATATAAAATTTTGGTTATATATGTACATTTATTAATTATAATTTTATGATATCTATAATTATGTTTAAAAAGTCTCGTTGAATGAATATATACATAAGATCATAAAATATATTAATAATGTTAAATAATTATATATGATAATACTGATAATAAAGACGAAAGAGGTATTTTATACTTTTTTAATGTTTGCTCTATTTGTTTGGTAAGATATAAAATTTTAAATTCTGGACAGCAGACTAAATTGAATTTTTGTGGATAGCTAAATGTGAATGGATTGAAGATGATGAGGATGAGGGAACGAGGACAAGGACGAAGAAATACCTCATTGCTTAAAATAGAGAAATCACTTCCTAATTAGCGTATTGTACCGAAAGTGATAAATCGGTAAGTGACAAATAAGTAGCAATCCGTTATGCCAAAGAAGGTTTTATGGTTCTTTACATGCAGTAGAGCGACTTGAGCTTATATATAATCTTAACGAGCAACGGGTAAATTATTCTTGAAACGCTGCGCATTGAGCTATACGATGTTTTATTATTATGGGATTATTGCTAAGCTACTTTTAATGATTATTTAGTGGTAATATTTAATGATATTAATATTTGATTCTTTATTTTGATTAGGTATAAATGCCTTAAATTTCATTCAAAAAGGAAATTTATTAGCCAATGCTTCTGATGATTTAGCAGTTATTATTTAAGATTGAGCTGTAGGAAAAAAACGTCACTGATTTATGAGTGGTCATATAAGTAGTGTGTATCAAGTATTTATATCTACTTATCATGTATTTATATATACTTATAATTAATTATTGCGATTAAAATGTTTTATCAATTATAAAGGTTTATTACTATTCTATGTAATTATATATTTATCTTTCTTATTTTTCTAATTTAATCATTTAGGTTAAATGGTTGCCGTTAGACGTAGAGTATGTTAATATAGTCACTTGTTCTATAGACGGTTGCAAGATCTTGAACGACACATCGAAGAAATTGCATCGTAAACATCGCATCGTAAACAAATCATCGCACAAATTGAATGTGTATCCTGTGAAACATCACATGTAATCTTTTCTGCTGGAGAAGATGCAAGGATATTCTCCATAGATATTCGGGAGAGCAAATCAAACGAGTAAGTCATTATGTTTAAAAAATTTAAATATATGTTTATTTTCTATTCATCAGTTTATAGGTCACAGTATTTTTACATATGTTAATTTTTCGTATAATATATATATATTTCTTTATCCTCAGATTACTTATAGTAAAGGAAGGTTCGTTAGAAGTGCAACTGTTCAGTATACATTCTAATCCTTTTAATAGTAATAAATTTTGTGTCGGTTATTATTATATGAGAGTATATGATCGGCGAAAAATTTTGATGCCGCTTTATAAGCTGTGCCTCGATCACTTGGTACAGCATATATATTACAATCCTGTTAATGAAAAAGTTTACCAATATTTAATACAATAGAATAGTGTGGCTTGTTTTTCTCTACATGTGTTTAATTTTACAAATAATTTAAATGTCTCAGACAGGGAATAAGCATACACATATGTAACGCATGCTATATATAATCACAATGGAACAGAAATTCTCGCATTATACAGTGACGAAGACATCTACCTATTTGATAGATTAATGTCTTTACATGTAGATTATGCTCATAAATATCAGGGTCACAGAAATTGTGCAACTAGTACGTAATATGCAATTACATTATGGTATTCTATATTTTCCATTCTTGATTTTTTTATCTCTTTTCTTTGTGTGCGTTTCAATAGAGAAAAACTAACAGTAACAAGATTCAGTGAAACTTTAATTTGTTTTTTGTGTTGAAATTTCTTTCTGGAAATCATTCTATATAACATATCTCTTTTAATTCGGGACAGTAATTTTGATTTAGTATTTGATATTTGTATCATTTGATTGCAGTAAAGGGAATCAATTTTTTCGATCCTAAAAGCGAGTATGTTGCATCTGGATTTAATTGCGATAATATATTCATTTGATAAAAATACAGAAGCCATTGTACAGTGGATGGCAGGAGATAAGTAAGGAGTTGTGAATTTCCACACTAAATCCGATGAAAAACAAATTTTTCTTTTGCAGTGTAGAAAGAAAATATGGTCTTTTTTAAAATTTAATTTATAGGTAAATTACTTAGAGGGACACCCGCATATTCCCATCCTCGCGACAAGTGGATTAGATCACGATGTTAAGATATGAGTACCTTCGTGTAGAGAACTTCCGATAAAATCATTCACGAATGTACGTAAAAACAAAAATCATCTTTCCATAATGTCTTCTATTTTGTATTTCTCTTTATTTTATCATATTTAACAATAATTTTTTACGCGCGCGCATTCCTGAAATAAGAAAAACTAAGTAGACTAATTTCGATAAACATATGATTCACATGCTCTGTTTTTTTTTTCACAAGTGTGTCAAGTCCAATGCAAAGAAAAGATTCATTGGATGATTATTGTTGGGAATTATTGAATCTTATCCATCAGAGAGAGTCATTATGTGTGTTATACATATCGGGCATTTTTGTCGTTATCGAAAAATTGACTGTTCTATCATGTTTTTTTTTTAGAATCTTTATAGGCCTTGGATACGGGGATTGAAATCGATACGATGATGATTATCGCTTTGATGATTCCTCGATGGACAGCTCGTCTAAGGATAGCGGTTAGTCAATCAATCAGAAAGTGATGTTCGAAGAATACAGTGTCTTCCGTTTTAAAGTTGTTGCTTAATTAACGCGATATTTGATATTATTGCGATGACAGTTATAGAGCGTTCAAGGCATTCATATTAGTCGTTTCACAATTATAATAAATTCTACTGAATAACTGTGTTAATAGCTTTACATAGCGAAATATATAGGAGGAATAGCACTGCAACGTATTAAAGGAGCTGCGTATTCTAGTTACAATTGATCTTTTTTATCAGTTAGATATAATCGGTAGTGTGACCTATATAAGTTTACAGTTGCATTGTAATTTTTGAATATATACGTTGAATGGACACGAAGATTGTATGTTTTTAGTATACGATTATATTAGGGATATATATTAGGGAATAACTGAGAGAAAGAGAATAATATAATATTTTTTAATAAATTGCAAACATGGTTATAAAGCCGGCGAAAACGCAAAATTTGAAAGCGTTTGATATAATTACAAACGTATTTTTGGATATTTTTGGATATGTATCCTTTATAGGATTGTTTTTTTTAATTTAGTTTATATATTAACGCGTTTATTATTAGTATATATGTTTACGCGTACAATATGTAATATATGAATATAATAATCATATTTCTAAGAAATTATAATGCTTTATAATTATATATTAATATTAATTTATATGAAGAAGAAATGGATCCGATATTAAAAACAGCAATTTATCGGTAATTTGATGGACATTTGAATACATCAGAAGTCGAATTTTTGCTTAGCAAATGTATGACAAAGTTATGTGTATATATATATATATGTGAATAGTTTGTGATATTTCAGAACATTCATGTCGAAGTTACGTGTAGATAAAACACACATCGAAATTCTCTTTTTCGAAGAATCAACCAGAGGAAAAGAGAATGCAGAGGAACATTGCAGAAAATTACGAGAAAGCGATAAAGACGAATGATAAAACTTTGATTTTAATTCGGATATTCTTTACGAAAGATAGACGATATCTTCAATCAAACTTCGATTAATTTAATCAATGACTAACTTAGTATCTATACTATTTCATTGTCATGGATGAAATATTAATTTTTCTGTTAAATATGTTTAGCAGATAAAAGTTTAAATTACAAACATTGGATTATAATAGAATTATATATTGTGAATAATTCTGACGAATTGTCGACAAGTTAATCGGAGTTAACTTTAATCTCGGCTCAATTTATTCTTCTTTTTTTTTTATATTTAGAAAAAGATGAATTAGTTGAACCGATCAAAATTGATTAAAATTAACAAATTGGCACAAATTGATACACATTCATAAAAAGGGAAGGAGGAATGTCTATGTTTTTGGGACACTGTATAGCGCGATCGAGACTGTCGCCATCTGACGGCAACGCCGCGCGATCGGCGGGAGGGGGCTGACGGCGCGCATGGCCAATCGGTCGCGTCCATTCTCTCCTATCCTCGTCTGCCCCGTTGGCTGGCTTCTACGCGTAGGAATACCACTGACGTGTCCTCGCGCGGAGATCGACTACGTACGTGCGTGTAATTCGTCGACTTGCCTCGCCGATAATCCTCGCCTTCCCCGCGTGCATAGGAATTAGCCAGGCAATACCGCCAGTCATTGAGGTGCAAGCGAGCGGAACGTTCTGTGCAACGCGTTGATCGTCAGCGGTCAAGACTAGTGAACCAGCCCAGATAGAGGCGAGAGAACCACAACCCCGTTCGAGCTCCAGCGAGTCAAAAGTGACGGCAAAATTATGGCATCAGCTCTGAATCTGAATGCTTTCTTCAATTCCTTCAGCAGCACGCTGTGAGTATCACATTCGCAACGAAATGATGGACAAACATCATAATTGGGAACACGGAAATATGTGCGATTCTCTCTCTCTCTCTCTCTCTCTCTCTCTCTCTCTCTCTCTCTCTCTCTCTCGGAAGCCTATGAGATTTGGTCCCGTGACGCAATTTCGTAATCACGGAGACGATCTATCTTGTGCTTTTTATCTCTATGTAGAAGAACAATAGTTATCGTAATTCATACGTGTCATCACGTATTCATGCACGATGTCATGACCTTCGATAGACGTTCGGTAGATGTTCTGGGATGACGACGGACTTCGTTGGTTTATAGATAACGCGACGCATCTGCGTGACTGCATCCATGTATAGTGAAAGCGAAAGACGCCAAAAATATAGCATCGGAGAGATTTCGCGACTTTCTTCGATGACAACATGGGAGAAAGGAGAATTTCAGTTCCCTCCCCACTTCGTCCAACGTTATTAATGTTACGATAAAGTTGGGACACCCTGTATAGAATTTTTTTTCCAGATCCATACGTGTTGTTTTTAGCCGTTTTGCGTCGTGCATTTTACACTTGGAATGGCAGGGATCGACTTCGATCAAACTCTAATTGCCATATTGGCAATTAATTTATAGAGCTATACTTTCGTTGCTTCAACGTGGATGAAATTATTGATTTTTTTATTGTTTCTAACATAAAAAGTTTCGAGGTCAAATTTATGTTTACCTCGGGCGATTCTTTTGTCCGATTTTTACTAATATTAGATTAATTTTAATCTCGGTTCAAACTTGCTCTATGTTTGTGTCTCTTTTAAATTCTTAGAACTGGAAAAAAGTAATTGGGAAATTAATCTACAGTAATAGAGATAGACATCTGCTGGTTGAATTAATCGCGAATATCAAGTTGTCAAGGTTTCGTAAATCTGATTATGAAAAAAGGAGAGGTAGAAGAGATAAATATTTCGAGAGAGGAAAAACATTATATATTTTTTTGGAAGAATTTATGAAACTAATAAAGAGAGGGAGAGGGAAATGACACAGTGAGAAGTATTTCCGGTTTCGAGAATGTTGTCCAATTAGGTCGGTCCTTCACATCTTGCTCTATTATTGTCTATTTATATTAAATCTGTGATAATAAATCTTCATGAACTGATAGTGCCTCATTTTTTTAGAACGATTAATTTTTTAGCAACGATTGATTTATCGATGCTTATAGAATTTTGTTGATAGACTAATTAGTTTTTTATTGATTTATGTAATATATTATCATTATTACTAAATAATTAATCACAGATAATGAATTATTTATTATTTATTTAATTTTACTCCTTGCAACTTGAGATGGCGATGGCTTACAGACATTTCATACTTTACATTTTTTATGCATACTTTTTATGTATTTTATATTTCAGAACAAAACAGAATTAATTTTACTTAACTTTTTTTTACTCTGTAAGTTTTATATTATTCAATCTTATTTAATCTGTATAATCTGTATCTTTGTAAAATAATAATGGATTGAGAAACTTGTATAAACTGTTGAAAAATTTCTGCTAAGTTAAACTGAAACTTTTTAAAATTTTTTTGATATTAAATAGTTTAAAAAAACCATCAAACTATCGAACTAAGCAAATTTGTATTTCCTCTAGTTATTTCTTCCTTTCTCCTCCGATTATTTATCTTCATTATTTCCAAATCTTTCTCTTCTTTTTTTCCAATTCATTTTTATTGCTTTACACTTTAGAATATGGAAACATATTTTTTGTGCCTGACATATTCTATACTTCCTTTGTTCAATACTAGTTCTCTTTTAGTGAATTATGATATAGTTAGAAAACTTTTAGACGATTTTACTGGTTGAGTTAATCACAGGTTGATGGAAATACGGTTAACGATTGGCATCAATGAAGTGACGCTGCGACTGAATTTTTTATAGTTAAATACATCGCAAGTGCGTTGATATAAATATCCTATGAATGGCCTTGAATCAACTTTCCAGGCAAGATACAAAAGAACATCTGAAAAAAGAATATAAATCCCCTATTTGACTTAACTGCATACAATAAAGTCCGGGATTGTATGCGGAGAAACCTAGAGACTGAAGAGAAAATTGTGTTACATTATTTATAGAGTTAGATAAGCGAGTAAAAGATTTGTTTTCGAGTTTCAGTAATAGTTTTGAAACATAAATCTCTACTTCTTTGTAACTTGCAAAGAGATTGGGTTTCATATAAGGTGAGAGATTCAAATTTCAAAACTATGATAGTCTATATATGAAAGATTAACAATACATTCTGATATATGTAGATGTAAATGAGATGTTTTTTTTTTACAGAATATATTTACAGAATTGTCTTAAATAATTTATATTATGAAATGAAAAGCGAATTAACCGACAATAATGACTGTTTTCAGAAATGCACCAGTCAGACAACACTTAAAGAATGTGTATGGTTGCCTGTCCCTGTCCACCGTATCAGCGGCTGCTGGAGCTTACGTGCACATGTACACGCAATTTCTGCAGGCCAATCTGCTGACGACTATCGGCACTTTGGGCCTCCTCATTGCGTTGATGACGACACCCGATAATGGCAAGAATCAAAAACTGCGTCTCAGCTACCTCTTGGGATTTGCATTTCTATCCGGTCTTGGTTTGGGGCCCTTGCTTGAGTTGGTAATCAGCATAGACCCGAGCATTGTAATGACAGCATTAGTTGGTGAGCCAACCGTTGATTTAACTATTTTGCGCTGTTTCCAGCATTTTAGCTATTCTTGAGATAAGACACTGTCCACAATCGATTACATTAATTCGAAATTAATCAATTTAGTCTAAAGTTCAAGTAAAATTGATTTCGCCCAAGTCCACTTTTGTATACGAGACTTGAAAAACAAATCGTTGAGTTAAGAAATTTTGTATATTTATAGAATTTTATAAAAGGTGGATAAAATACGTTAAATAGTCAATTAAATCAATGATCAATTAAATCAGCAATGCGCAATCTACAGTCTCTGTGAATTTTTTGTGGTCAACCAACTCGAAAATATAAAATCATATCTTTTTATTTTATGTAAACGATATGAACACACATATGGTCAAAAAATTTTATCTAAAAATAGCTCTCTGAAAATGACCTTTAAAAAAGATTGCGTATCCATTATATTAAATCACGAAATGAGAATATCGATCTAAAATAATATCTCTAAACTTATCTATAAAAATAAACTTTAGAAGAATTTGTTTTACATAAAACAAATATGATATGTTCTATATATTCTTTCTAATATAATTCGATATACAATAATTGTACAATAAAATGTTTACAGGCACGACGGTCGTCTTCGTTTCCTTTAGTATTTCTGCGCTTTTGGCTGCACGTGGCCGTTGGCTGTTTCTTGGTGGCACTTTAATGAGCATGCTGAATGCTATGTTCTTATTCTCCTTCATCAATCTGTTCTTGCGCTCGACCTTCCTGTATCAAGCGCACTTGTATGTGGGATTATTCGTTATTTGCGGCTTTGTTATTTACGACACGCAACTGATCATCGAGAAATATCACATTGGTAGCAGGGACTTCATCATGCACTCCTTGGATCTGTTCATCGACTTTGTAGGCGTTTTCCGACACCTCCTTGTGATACTTACGCAAAAGGTAAATTACCCTGATGAATTAACTATTATTTTGATACTCCTTAAAATTGCCGCATTATTTTTCGTTGATGTACAAAAGGAATTTTAAGCAAGTTATTCCTTTACTTTCAAAACAATTGATTATTTAGGATATAATTTTTTCATCGATTTAAAATAACTCGTGTAAAAGAAAATAATATAAATTAGAAAGAGTAAATCGATAACTGCTCTGTTGTCGGTGTCAGTGTTTATGGGTTCAGTTTGCGTCGACACTAAGTAGATTAAAAGATCGATCGGATATTATAGCGTTGAAATAAAACATGATGTGGAACAATACGAAATGTGGAATAATAAAAAAAGATCAAGATATTTTTAGTGATATAGAAAAAAAAGCACTTAAATCGAAACAAAAATATGACTATCTTTAGTTTGCGTTTTGCATGTCAAAGTTATATATGTTAGACCACATTTTTTTAAATAAATATTTAGATGCACATTTCGTTACAAATAAGAGAAGTAATCCCTTTAAAAAAATTTTTATATTTAATTTTTTTACCTTGTTTCAGGAACTGTCCAAGGATTCACGCAAGCGTAGAGATTGAGCGAAAACAAGACGAGTAATTGCGGTGCATTCAAGTAAATCCATAAACTAGAGGTCTTCATGTAATCTATCCATACCTAGGTATTTGTGTACATATACATACCGGAAAAAAATTATATAAATACCGATATACACCACGTCATATACGTATATATACGCATAACATCTCTTTAGCGCGAACGCGAAACTATATATATTTACTATATTGAAAAAAGAGGAAAATGTTAAATGCAGTTCATTTACTATAAATGAAATCGGCTTCTCTTACATCTGATTACAGATGAAGACATGTCGTAATTTATTTTGGTCATGTCTCTGAGTTATAATTCTCCATCAACTTGTACACACACACACACACACACACACACACACACACACACACACATACACACACACACACACACACACACACACACACACACACACACACACACAAAATAATATAAATTAACTGTGTATTATATTTTCAACTTTCAATAAATGAATTTTCCCAAATTTTTCTCTTTTTATTTCATATAAACTTCAAGTATGTGAGTAATTACTCAAGGATGTGAGTAATTAAATAAGTCGATTGTTTCGATCGCATGTTTACACATTTAAGAGGTCTTATCTATATTATCTATTTGAAAATTGATTTTATACGAACGTAACATACATATGTGATATTTAGTCTTCTGGTGAATATAAAAAGATCACGCGAAAAGAAAAACAATAATACATGTCGCATACATAGAATAAAGAGTGACTGCGTCCATTCTGCGAAATGTACAAGCGCTGACAGTGTGTACAATATGTGTACAAGTTGTTTATTATAATAATGGTGGATTAATCGATATTTCTCAAGAAGATTACATTAGTATGGTCGCTGGCGATCCCTGTCTCTGTCTCCTCGACTAAAACAAAGTTGAAAATGGACGAGTAACAATCAATATATTCAGGTTTATGTATATGTAAAAATACATTCGTCAACGTGAACTCTTTATGCCCCCCTTCCTCAATATATCGACGAAAAGTAAAAGTTCACAAAGAGTTGAGGATCATGCAAGAAACATGAAAGGTAAAACCTACCCGCTGCCGCCCCTCATGGGACCGCCTCGTCCACCACGGCCGCCCCGGTCTCCACCACGGAAACCGCCACCGCCTCTGCCACCTCGGTCACCTCCACGTCCACCTCGATCGTTCCTGAAACCCCCCCCTCTGCTTCCGCGGTCGCCACCTCGGCCACCACCTCCTCTGCCGCCACCGCCACCACCACCACCACTGTAACCACCGAGGCCTTCCGGTTTCGCGCTTTTGCAGAGATTACACTGATCCCGCCACGCGAAATTTGTATTGCCGCAGTCGGGATTGGGACACCTGTTTCAAGATATTTTTAATTTTATTACCTCAATCTTTCTCAAGACACAAGCTTGTTTAACATAATAGTATACTGATTCACGTGTATGGAAACATGCCAAATATACACGTATTATATATATATATATATACGTACAGAAATGATGTCGGAAATAGAGCTTTAAAAAAGATTTGGTGTAAGAGTAAACGACCACACCATAATCAAACATATTCATTTTCTTGAGTATAATATAATTTTATATTCACCTCCAGTCACCTCCACGGCCGCCACCATCACGACGATCATCGCCACCACCTCCGCGATGATGATCATCGCGATCGCCGCCTCCGCCACGGCTGCCAAAACCACCACCTCGACCTCGGCCACCACCGCCACGACCACCGCCCATGCGGTTACCTTGCCAATTGCTTTTATGTTGGGCCATTTGCACCTTTATTGTGCTGCCCTTGAAGTCCTTGCCATCAAACCAGCTAATAGCTGAGCGCGCGGCGTTTTGATCATCATACGTAACTGTTGCCTCGCCCTTCGACTTTCCAGTATTCTTGTCTTTGTACATCCAAACTTTTGGCTTGCCTGTGCGTTTGTCATGCTGTAAACATCAAGTTTTCATTGAATATTTAGATATGATTTGATCTTATTATTACTCTCGTACTTCGCATTTAATTCCAAACACTTTTGATTTTTCATTCGAGATAACATTGCATTGGAGATTAGATTGGAGCTTCAAACATAGATGTGTGGTGTAAATACTAATCTACATATCGCTTATTTACTACGACATAATAAAATTCGAAAAACAAATTTTCAACAAAAAATGAGTCTGAATGTTTTAAATTATTATAAAGTTTGTAACATTAATTTTGGTAAAGGAATAAAAATTTTTTTCAAAGTTTTCAAATTTCTTTTTTCTTTCTTTTCGTTCTTTTCCTGTAAATAATTCCAAAATGACCATTTTTGAATTATTATAGCAAGCGAACATATAGCGATATATATATATACATATATATATATATATATATATATATATATATGAAAGAATACATACTTTAATAATGCCAATCGCTCCAAAATGTTGACAAATCTCTTCTTCGGAGATAGATGGATCCATACCGGATACAAAAATAGTATCCTCTTGTGTAACCATTCCGTCGCCGCCACCGCTGTTACGATCACCGTAGCCCCCTGCAATGGACCGAAAGTAATGATTCGTCGCACAGAAGCATCTAAGATAATTTAAAAAATATTCGCGTATCTACCGACCCTGGAGCTACTACTTCGTTCTACTTTAAAAGATACAAGGAAAGTGTTTCGGCTGCACATTTCTTTTTTTATATTTTTTGGCTTGCTCTGACGTACAAGAGTTTGGAAACACTGTCCATATATCTTTTTCGGGTTCATCACTTCTCAGTAAAAATAGTCGTATATTCAAAGTTATCGTATTCCCGATGACAACAACATTCTTAGTAAGGAACAACGGTCGTTTATTTTCGAGATGTTAGTTACCACACATTTTTTAATAGCCTCTACGATCTTGATTGCGAAGGATTTCCTGCTATTTTTTTTTTTTTTTTTTTTTTTTGAAACACGAGCAGAAGCGGAAAACGGATGACCAGTTTTCATTTGGGTAACGTTCTATTTATTCAGAATTTAAGAGTTTACAAGTAATAAATCGTATATACCAGCAAAAGCAAGAGACATTCTTTTCTCTTTTGTAGGGTATTAAAGAAGACTTATAAAGTATATTTTAACAACTAAACACGTATACACACATCTACGTATATCCTTGTAACGTTATTACTCAGGATATTTAGCATAATTATCGCTACTCGTTACGCATTTTTTCCATTTCTTTTTTTTCTCACGAAGTCTTAAAAGGAACGCACAATTACATTCAATAATAACAATTTCTCACTTAGATACCCATTTTTCTGCATAATTTCCGTATACTTCAAATTACGTTTGCAGTATGCATCGTAATCTCCCTTCGTATCGTGTTATTTATAAAAACGTAATGCATTAGTAGCGGTCTAATATTCCCAATAACACCTAACGATACATATAGAACACAGGGTTGCAGCTGAACATACAAAAGGGCTGCAACATTATTTCTTACCCTTGACATTTAATCACAGAATCGGCAAGTAGCTCACCAGCTGCCTTTTATTTACTCTTCTCGCGCTTTGTACGTTTATATGCATTTGAAAATGTATCGACCATATAAAAAATCAATCACGATCATCGTGCGACTATTGTTCTATTCACTAATGTTCACTCGCAATACCCTTCTTTTTTACCTTTTAGGAACCTTTCGACCTTTTAAGGGATTTCCCAAAATAGTTTTCCTACTGCACGACGTCATCGAGGACATGCACAGTGCGGAAATCGGTTGGGTAACGACAGTTTTCTTACGGAATGTATGAAAAATCTAATTTTGGCAGACGCACGGAGATGTCCTACTCTTGTAAAAAAAAAAAAAAAAAAAAAAAAGAAAGTCTTACTTAACACGGTAATACAGGAAAACGACATCCGTGCGCCAGATTCGTAGGATAAAAAAAGCAATTGGTGATCGTAAAGTGCATTTGGTCTTTTTTTTTCAATGATACATCTACAGGCAGAACGCGAACGGTTTTATATTTCATTCTCCTCCGTTCTCACTTTCAACGATAAATTCGCCGTGCGAGTGTGAGATTGAGAGACATCGCACGCTATTTACTGCACTATCCTAACAATGTTGCATAGCAGCCCTTTCATATAACACCGAGTAACCGAGTATTTAAGATCGTAAATAGTAGAGTGAAAGCTAGAATATTTAGCACCAGACTAGTACAAACAGTCTGGTGCATTTACCTTTGTTATAACCACCACGGCCACCGCCACTGCTAAAACACAGAAGCAGATATACCAATGAGTTGACTCATGGAGAGACTGTGATCGATCGATCGATGCATGGCGAATCGTATGTATGCCGCTCGCCACCTTTCTTCTTGATTGATGTACCTATTTGTCTAAATGTCTGTACAGTCATACCACATCATGATTTACATTAGACCGTTCGTCCCGCCGTTAAATCACGTCCGTCAGTGTCGTTTAGCATGCAGATTTAGAGAACTTTATACAATGTGAGAAACGACGACAAACGATTGTAAATCGAGAGAGATAAATCGGAGTATTTTGATCGATTCGACGTAACACGAGTCTCGAGGAAAAAGACAAATCTCGATAAAAGCATGCCTAATTTCTACTTGAATATATATATATATATATTACACACAGATATTTTATCATTTTTGAAATAAATAAAAAAAAAGGTAAGAGATTACTTGTGACTAAGAAAGAACTCTTTGACGGAAAGGAATATTGTTAAGCATTCGCTGCAACTCGCCGTTGATTCCATTGCAGATTGGGACATAGAAATTTGTAAATGCACAGCATAATCGACGTGTTTTGCTTTTCAATTTTTGTTCATGATAGAAAAGAAAAGTATTTCGAAAAATACCTGTTTAAATAATACCAATGCTAGAAGCGACGATATACACACAGTAAAACCATGTATCGCTTGAAGGCAAATAACATATGGAAAAATACAATATACGGTTCCACCTTTTTCTCAAAAACTTGTTTCTTTTTATTTAAATATGGTGTATAATAGGTCAGATAAGGCAATATTTCTCTGTAATCTCTTACGACAGACTTTAAATACCCTAGTTGCCTAATCATATATAATACACAACCTAATAATACAACAGTGGCCCCAGTGGCGACATCAATCGCTTTGTAGTCTAATCGACTTAAGACCTTTGCATTTAGCTGCCACATAATCTGTGTATGTCGTGTGCATGTATGAATGTGAATGTGTA